TGCAAACCATAACAGGGGCGCTAAAGCTCTCTCCCCCAAACTGGCTCTGCTGGGGAGGTGGTGGGCTTAGTGGGAGACACCACATGGCTGAGCCTGTTCTCGGGCCCCAAGCCTCACTCTCAACTGCATATATATGTGCGTCTCAAAGGAAAGCATGAAGGGATATGTGAAAAACACGAGTGCAAACAGCAAATAAAGCAACGTTTCATTTTTCATCTGGCCGAAAGATGCGCGCGAGGTCACCACAAGCAGCTGCGTCAGCGTTACGGCGACCGTGGTGACGCAGGCCGTGGTGACGCAGCGCGTGGTGCCCCCCTCTCAGAACTGCAAATGTAACTCGCTGATAAACCTTATGCCCTGTCAAACCAGCCAGCAGAGGGCCACTGGCTCCAGTCAAGGTTAATCTGGAGCACATCTGATAGGGCACCATGACGTGCCGACGTAGACGAAATGCAAAATAACTGATGACTTGACTTTAGCAACATTGGCTCAGAAGTGGTCGATGAGGTTTCAACCTAAAAGGAAAATTATTTTTCAATGGCACAGAAGAGGGATTGTGAACCTGCGGTACAGTAATCTCACAGAGCAATTGCAATGGATCGGCAGGGATCAGGGTTGCAAAATTCTGGGAAGTTTCCTATTAATTCCCATATACTCCCATCAATTGCCATGGAAAGTTTCCAACTTGGAAAATTTCCAAAATTCCCCAGCTTAACTTCCCATGAAAAGGAAAGCTTCTGGAAAGTTTCCCAAAATTTTCCACCCCTTTGCAACCCTAGCAGGGATACACCATAAATTAACTGAACGTCAATTTAGTATGAAAAATATTTAAGAGGCACTTCCCTTTAATTTTAGGTGAAAAATATTCAAGGGTGACTCCCTCCTTATTAGACGTGAAAAATAATCAATGGGGACTCACCCCTCATTCAGGGTGGACCATACCCCTAGAGAAATAAATACTAAGCCTCATGGGGCCAGGGTTCTTAGTCATTTGTGCCCAGAAAGGCACCAAAGGTTTGATTTCACACCATTTTCATCAGCTTATTCTGAAAAGCTGAAACACAACCGCATCCGTTTTGTCAGCAAAGTAGATTTCCTGCTCTTTCCTTGTGAGGACACTTGAGGATCCCGTGTAATTCATACCCCCATTATCAGACAACAATCTCGCTACTTCAAAAACATCAGCTTTAATCACCATTTCCACCTTCACAGCTATCCAGGCAGCAGATCCACATTACCTGCGCAAAAAATCAGACGCTCTCACCTTCTTAAAAAACAGCTTCACTGGCTTCATTTCTATATCATTTTTTAACACCAGAGCAGCTGATTCTTTGCTCCCAGGCAGAAACTTGATTTATTAGCTTGTTAATGAACTGCCCTTTCTTTTGTTCAGAGGAGTTCATTAACCGCTGAAGCGGTGAGAAATAATTAAATCAGATAAAAATTATAAAACAAACAAGCAACCAAAATCTAAAGAGAATTTGTATCCAAAAAGCTTTTTATATATATACTTTTTACACAATGTCTGGCAAACACAGACAGCAGGAAATCTGCCTGTTGATTTCCAGAAAATGCCGTATCCGATGGGAATATTTTAAGTGCCCTGGTCATTGCCGCCGTGGTCAAATCTGTCCATCATGCATGCATCTTGCCCATATACTCCGCACTTCTGTAGTGACATTTAAGCATTCCTTTCCTGTCATTGCATGTTGTCTCCACGCTGCATCCATCCATATCATCCTAAGAGGCGCTGAAATCTGCCAAAACCCATTGAACTCATCTCTAATTCACAAAGGCTTGCTACAAACCTAACCCTAATATTGAAGGTGCCTGCATCTACTCTGATTGAAGCGTAATGGGGGGGGTTTCATTTAACACCCCTTCCCCTGACAAGGACCATTTCAGAGTAACCACCCCCCCCCCCCCCCCAAAAAAAAATGTGATGCTCAA